GGAAGAGCTGACGGAGGTGACTGGGGAGAGGATTGTCTGGGCTTCTTTGCTGAGGCTGCTGCCCCCGCGACCCGGACCCGGATAAGCGGAGGATGACGAGTACGAGTAAGTTTAGTATCTTTTAACATCAGGTAACACATGTATCTGAGATAAATTCCCCTCAGGACAAAAAAGTCTGATTAAAGGGGAATGGATTTTAAAAAAAAAAAAAAAAAAAAAAGTGTCTTGGCACAGATCAGAAGAGTGTGTGTTTCAGTGTTCGGGGTGGATGTGTGGAACAAAGAACAAATATGAATCAGTTTTAAAAACTACACAGGAAATATATTTTCATCAGATATATAGAAGAGGACAGATGTGTTACTGATCCTGTAACACTGGGACCTGGAGCAGGATGATGCTTTGGGCTCGTGTTGCAGCCGGTGGGACAGGTGACATTTCACAGGTAGAAGATGAACAGGACAATAATCACACCTCTAAACCCACAACCTGAACATGAGGAGACTCAAACTTCACCTGAGCGACCAGACTGACTCCAGATCAGACTCTGATCCAGGTTGTCTTCATGTCGCCCACAGTGACACCGACACTGTCCCTCTCATCAGGAGCTGTGGACATGTTGACACCACACAGTGAATCCAACAAGGACCTGGAAGGTCCTGTGAGGGTGCAGCGGGGGGTTGGTGTGTGTGTTTAATGCTGGTGTCTTGTTCAATAGCACGGACAATTAAGGGCCAGGGTTTCATCCGGATGCTGGCAAACGGCGACTCAGCTGGACACCTTCACGTCTCTGCACTGTAAAAAATTAATAACATGGTAGTTAAGAATCTGAGCTTTGTTGCAATAGAACGTCATCAGACACTCTCCTACTGATCAGAGCAGAATCAATCAGCAATATTGATCATACTTATTTTAATATAAACAATCAGCAGCTGACATTTTTATTGAACCTTCACCAAATCAGTGTGTCAGCGTGGGTTTCCTCCAGGTGCTCCGACATGTTCTCCCTGTGTCAGCGTGGGTTTCCTCCAGGTGCTCTGACATGTTCTCCCTGTGTCAGCGTGGGTTTCCTCCAGGTGCTCCGACATGTTCTCCCTGTGTCAGCGTGGGTTTCCTCCAGGTGCTCTGACATGTTCTCTCTGTGTCAGCGTGGGTTTCCTCCAGGTGCTCTGACATGTTCTCCCTGTGTCAGTGTGGGTTTCCTCCAGGTGCTCTGACATGTTCTCCCTGTGTCAGCGTGGGTTTCCTCCAGGTGCTCCAGCTTCCTCCCACAGTCCAAAGACATACAGGTTAATTGGTGACTCTAAATTGTCTGTAGGTGTGAATGTGAGTGTGAATGGTTGCTTGTCTCTATGTGTCAGTCCTGTGATAGTCTGGTGACCTGTCCAGGGTGAACCCTGCCTCTCACCCAATGTGTCAGCTGGGATAGGCTCCGCCCCCTGCGACCTCTAACAGGATAGGTGGTTATGGAAATGAATGAAATGAGTAAATAATGTGGTTGATTGAACACGAGGTTCCAGATGAATGTATGAATCCTGATTTCTCTTCGTGTTCAGAGTCTGTAAAGAGCTTATTGTTTCTACCTGACAGACTGAAATCGAGGTCATATGTACACAAAGGGTGTGTGCGTGTGTGCGTGCATGTGTGTGTGTGCGCGTGTGTGCGTGCGTGCTTGTGTGTGTGTTTGTTGAATAAAAGCTTCCTGTCTCTCAGGTGAAGCTTCACTCTGATCGTCTGCAGGTAAGAACTTGTTCACATCTTACAGCCAGTTAGGATGTAAAAATAAACTGTGATGATGATTTTAAACTCTGGATGGCAGCAGTTCTCTTTATTTTCTCTATTGTAGTTATTGTTGACAAGAATCATATTTTCCTCTGATCATAAAGTTGAACATTAGGAAATAATTTGAATTATTATTATTATTATTGATATTATTGATAATATGCGGACAGAAGTCGTCCACCACAGTCTGAGCAGTTATATCTCATATCTGAGTTAATCACAGTTTATCTTCAGTATTTGAAATTAATTTTTACAGTTTGATGTTTAATCAGATCAAAGAGATGAAAACAGTCTGATAACCAACAGATCACTGTGTGGATGCTTTTTTATTTTCTAATTGATAGCCAAAATAAAAAACAAACAATTTTAGACTTTTAGTTTTTTTAAACCTGAAGCTGCTATATGAAAACTGTGTGTGTGTGTGTGTGTGTGTGTGTGTGTGTGTGTGTGTGTGCGCAGATGGAGGCGGAGCTACAGCAGATCCTGGATCAGGTCTCTGACCTTCAGACCAAGAGGAAAGTTTTTTTTCACTGTGGACAAACTCACTGATTGTTTCTCTGACTGTCTGACTGACTGACTGACTGACTGTTTCTCTGACTGACTGACTGACTGTTTCTCTGACTGACTGACTGTTTCACTGACTGACTGACTGACTGTTTCTCTGACTGACTGACTGACTGACTGTTTCTCTGACTGTCTGACTGACTGACTGTTTCTCTGACTGTCTGACTGACTGTTTCTCTGACTGACTGACTGTCTGACTGACTGTTTCTCTGACTGTCTGACTGACTGACTGTTTCTCTGACTGTCTGACTGACTGACTGTTTCTCTGACTGACTGACTG